TGGACATTTGGTGGTAGCCAACTGAGCCATAAAAGTATAAACATTATGGTAAAATAGGCCTAATTTTGAATCCTAACTATACCACATTAACAACTGAGCAACCTTCTGCCAGTTAACCTCTCTGAGTCAGGTTTTTCACAGAGAGAGATTGATCATTTCCTCTTGGATTAGTGTAAAACTAAGAGATCAGGAGCATAAAAACATTTGTAGATTTTTATAGTGCCAAATAAAATCATTATTATATTTGTTTGGACAGGTTTAAGAATGGAATAGAATAATGTTTCTCAAAGTGCTTTGTATTCAGCATCATTACAAGATTATTTAACAGGTGTGCCTTTAAAAAATATTGACAGTTGAATTTTAACTTATTAAAGGCTGAGGGGGTGGGCATTGTGGCATAGTAGTTAAGTCACTTGGGGAGCCTGTATCCCATAGCAGAGTGCTGATTAAAGTCCAGGCTACTCTGCTTAGGAAGATAGATCTTTCTCTTCCTCTCTCCCATCCACCCCCACCCCGCCCCAGGTGAAAACGAGCAAACTTTTAAAAACAAAGAAAAATAAATGTCCTGAGAAGTCCTGTTGTGGCAAGATCAGCTGACCATAATTTAACTTAACATTTTCCCAATTTATCTGAACATGGAACATCCTTTAATACCCTGTGGAATATCAAGTATGACAAGAGTAGAACACACTGTTCTTCCACCATACCTTTCTTGTATGACTCTCATGACAGAAACTTAGAAACAATACCCAAAATAGTAAAATCAGTGAAAATACTCCCCACTCTATATGTATTGACTTATTGTTTATAATTGTCATATTTGCTAGAAAACAACTAAAAGGAGGGCTGGCATTGTGGTGCAACCGGTTATGCTGCCTGGTGCTATGCAAGCATCCCATGAGTGCCAGTTCATTTCGGGTTGGTCCACTTCTGATCCAGTTCCCTGCTAATGTAACTGGGAAGGCAATGGAAGATGACTCAAATGCTTAGGTACCTGTCACTCACGTGGGAGACCCAGATTGAATTCCAAGCCCCTGCCTTCAGTCTGGTCCAGCAATGGCCGTTGTGCCCATTTGGTGGGTGAACCAGGGGATGGAAGATTCTCTCTCTCTCTCTCTCTCTTTGTTTCTCCCTCTCTCTCTATAACTCTGCTATATCAAGCAAATAAACAAAGCTTTAAAAATATATTTACACACACACACACACACACACACAAACAAGGTACATACACAAACATGAGAAATTCAAGTTGAATTATAAGATTATATTTTATAACTCTGTATCAAAGAAACATTTGGGTATAACTGACCATAAGCATGAAGACTAAAAACTGTTCTAATTGATTATTTGTGATTCCTACTGGCTGAGCTGACTGTAAGCAATTTTGGGAATCATACTAAAAAAAAAAAAAAAAAAAGAGGTATTTTCTCTCTCATTCATAGGCCCAGTTCTTCTAAAGGCCTAATTGTTCTTTTCAGACAGTAGCAAAAGTTCACTTCATTATTTCAAATGGCTCTTTCCTGACTTTACCTCCTGTGCCTTTAAAAGCTACTATTAATTTCCTATTAGTAAATTTTAATTAAAATAAATATGTGTCATTGCTGTCAGCAATTGCATTTGTAATACATGTATAAATATATGCAAATCTTCTCCACAACGACTCAAACAATTATTTCTGAACAAGCAAACACTTTGATGTTATTTCAAAAGATTTTTGGTCTATAAAATTTTTGTCTGGCTATCCCTAAAATAACCAGGACTTCATGGAAATACAATGAACAGTTAGCAACTTAGCAAGTCTATTTTATTGATCCAAAAAGTAGCATGCTAAAACATGAATAATGACTTCTGAGTTTTGAAGTACTCAGCACCTTGGTTTTTCTGCACTATTTGTGTACCATGCATGAAAAGAAAAGCTAGAAGAGGTAGAGGGGCACGACTAACATAGGAAATCACAATTGTCTTAACAATAATTTGACATGAGTTATATTTCATCAGCTTATTATCAAAGATGCATCTACTCCCCAAACCTTCATTTAAATATTCAACTCTCAGAGAAACTGGAACACATTAGCATGCATCTGAGTGTTGAAGTCCATAATCTTTCTTATCTCTTAAATTTCCAACATTAGACTAAAGTGCTTTTTAAACATGTTAAAAAGAAACAATGAGACTGATTAGTCTTACATCATGCTTCCACCATGTTACCCTCTCCCAAAAATCTTAATCAGAATCCAATAACAATTCAATGAGATGATCATTCACACTTGCATACTATAGGCACATTTTCTGTAAATGTTGACAAACATCTGATAATATTTCTAACAATAATGCTTCCTCCTAGGCGATCATGCATTATCAGAATAACTTGAAAACCTCTAAGAAAAGACTTCAGAAATGCTTAACAAACAGGATGGCACGACCACAGCTTCTCTAAGGTTTGGGTCAGTGAATGCATTTGCGGGGCAGCCTGTGGTTTCCTTTCTGCAATCAACCTTACCCTTCTTTCCACCCACTCAATGACTTTTCTCTATGGCCAGTTGACCCAGTAGTTGGAGTCTCACTGTGAAGCTTTTAAAGTTTCTTTATCTTCCCTACTTATTTCTCACTTGTTACATAGTTTCCTAAGAAAATAAGCATTACTTTCAATTGGGAAAATATTTGCTTGGAAAGTATAATAACTGCAACTATAATTAAAGTAAGTTCTTCAGTTCATAGAATTTGATCTCGGATTTTTCATGAGGTGTCAATCTGTAAGAAATGCGAAGTTTTTCAGCTAATAGAATCGAGTATTTGGATTATTTACATAAATCTAGAAACTTTAAAGGCAATGGAAAGTAAATCATTTCAAATCTTGCTTAAAGTTTGAAAAACTGGGGGCCAGAGTTGTGGCACAGCAGTAAAGCTGCCGCCTGCAATGCCAGCATCCCATATGGGCACCAGTTCGTGCCCCAGCTGCTCAACTTCTGATCCAGCTCCCTGTTAATGGCCTGGGGAAAGCAGCAGAGAATGGCCCAAATGCTTGGGCCCCTGCTACGCATTTGGGAGACCTGGTGGAAGCTCCTGAATCCCAGTTTCCGCATGTCCCGGCCCCAACCCTTGCAGCCATCTGGGAAGTGAATCAGCGGATAGAGGATCTCTCTCCCCCTCCCTCCCTCTCTGTAACTGACTTTCAAATAAATAAATTAATCTTTTTCTTTAAAAAAAAAAAAGTACTTCTTTCCTAGTATAAAAAGTTTGAAAAAGTGAAAACTGGGATGGCAAGCTTTATTTATTATGCTGTTGATTAAAATGGTAATCACATGCAGACTAGCCACTAAATAATTTCATTAGGTAAGTCAATTATTGCAGTTCTTCATTACACTTGAAAAGCATCAAGATATAACTCTTTCTAATAGCCATATATGGGAAATAGAATTATCACAGTGAGCTGATATTCCAAAAAGTCCCCTTGAGTCCAAAATATGGAGGTCTCCATCATCAAGGTGCCTGACTACATACATATCATATGTCACTTTTCCAGAAAGCATATGCTTGGGAAATAACATCTATAATCCTAATGTCCACTGTCAATGACAATGCTTACCCTGCTTTTATAAAACACTGGTCCCAGGAAAGGTGGTAAAATCATCACACCTGCTCTTCTCAGTTGAAAGCACTGTTATTCCTCATAAACAAAAATAAATTTGAGGTTGTAGTCCACAAACTCTCTGATGCTTTGGCATCGATAATGACTTATAATATCTTTTATCACAAAAATAAGTACAAATGAAATAGAAAAAGAACACTCATATAGTAGAGTGTAGTCCCATATTGGCATACTTTCTAGGAAGTTCCTCATCTTTACTTACAGTATATATTTGCTTAGCATTTAAGTGAAAATTACCTTCGGATGTTAGCATCTTTGTATTTCCATACACTTTTGTTAGATCTATAATGCTGTCTCAAAAAGCTACTAAAACAGACAAATGTCAGAAGAGTACATTTCTGAACCTACTATTTCACTATATGCCTAAGTCTAAGCAGTGACTGATTGCCCAAGTTATGGTTTCTCTCTGTTTAACAAGGTTAACATGTATTCCAGTTAGTAAATGGAAGTGATATTTGTGTAAAAAGAATTGGTAGATCAGATGACAAGTTTCAAAGCAGCCAATGAAGATGCCAAGTGTGATTAAAGTTTATATGACACCACCCCTTTTTCAGAGGTTCTTAGTTATATGAGAAATTAGATATGAGTATACTCTAAAGATAATTGGAAAGTGCACTATAAAAGTCAGGGTCCCATAAAGTGTACTTTCTCATGTCTGCAGATGCCTTGCACATGTATGTCACAAATATCTGGCAACTTGGACAAACATGACAAGCTCTTCACTTGGAGTACAGTACTTCTGTAGCAGTGACCATTAAATGCGGGTACTTCTGAGCAATAACATCCTCCATCTAACCAGAACTAACAATTTTTCCCAGGGAACAAAAGAAATCATCCAAATTGCAACACATACCTCATATTCAACATAACAAAAAGGATTTTTAGATGTATCAAGAATCCTCTCTTACTGAAAAGAGAGCACTAAAAATGAGGAGGAGGAGGGCTGTAGTGTGGAAAGGAAAGAAGCTAGTGAGGCAGGGTTGGGGAGGAAGGGATGAGGTGATCAGACCCACTCTGCTGCCCTTCCCTTATTTCTCACTTCCCTCCCACCCTAGGCTGAGATCACAAATTTTAAAAATGCAAGCCCCAGTTTTGTTGGTTTTTTTTTTAAGCGAAAGAAAGAAAGAAAGAAAGAAAGAAAGAAAGAAAGAAAGAAAGAAAGAAAGAAAGAAAGAAAGAAAGAAAGAAAGAAAGAAAGAAAGAAAGAAAGAAAGAAAGAAAGAAACTGAAGGAGTGTGAACAGGGTTACTCCCACAGCAACCCCGAACGAACGGTTTTCGTGCAAAAGCAAAGCAGTGAGGATGTAGTAGCAGCCGCAAATCCCCCTCTTCCCCCACCCCTGATACGGTACCTCCAGATCTGCCCGAGCTGCAAGATGTGGATGAGTGACTGCAGGAGCCAGATGCAGAAGGAGCAGGACGCAGACCTGTGTTTGCCGCTGGCCCGAGTGGCCCCGCTGCTGTTGCTGCCGCTGTTGGCGGCGGTGATGTTGCTCTTGCTGGCGTTGGAGGCTTGCCTTTGCGGCGTGGAAGGACGAGCTTCGCCTTCACCGGCTGCAGACCCACCGCTGACCACCGTCTTGCATTCGGCTCCGGGCTGCTGGCAGCTGGAGGCTGCTGCGGCCGTGGCGCTGTCCTCAGTGCTGAAATCGTGCACAAACCAACGGAAGCTGAACACTTGCACCGACAGGGAGCCCAGCACCACGAAGAAGAGCGTGAGCCCGAACCACCAGCGCTGGCCGCGCAGGTAGTAGTCCACGGCGAGCCAGATGTCCGTGCCCACGTCCGCGAAGTACACGGCCACGGCAGCCAGGATCCAGAGGCAGTCCCACAGCGAGTAGCGCCGCTGCTCCCTGCCCAGGCGCAGGCACAGCGCCGCTGAGCCCGCCCCGCCGCCGCCGCCCGGGCCGCCAGCGCCGCCGCCAGAGCCCCCCGAGCCGCCGCTCCCGGAGCAGCAGCAGCAGCAGCGTGAGCAGCCGCCGCCGTCCGGGCAGCAGCCGCTGCCGGCCGCCTCCTCGTCCTCGGCTCCCGACCCAGACGGCAAGCCCGGGGCCAATCCCTGCACCGAGCCCGAGTGGTCCGAGTTCTGCAGCGGGGTGAACGCCACGTCGCTGCTCTTCTTCATTTTCAGCCTCCCGTCTGACTTAGCGGCCATGATGCCTCCCCGCCGGAGGAGAGCCCTCCTTTATCTGACACCTTTCCCCGCTGTCTCCTCCTCCCGCCACCTCCTCGCCTCGCCCAGGCTTCCCTCCCTGGCGGCGCGGCTCCCCCGCCTCCTGCTCCTGCGCCGGCTCGCCCGCCGCCCGCCGCCCGCCGGGCTGGGCGCTGGGCCGGGCTAGCGGCGCGCCTGGGGCCGGCAGGAGCGCCGCCTGGCTGCCTGCGCGGAGCCAAGCTGCTTGCGGCGCCCCGCGCGCGCCCCTGCCCGCCGCCCGCGCTCCTCGCCCGCCCGGCCCCGCGGCAGCCGCCCGAGCCGCCGTGGCCGCCAGCAGCAGGAGCAGCAGCGGCCGCCGCGGCGCTCCTCGGACCTGCACATTCCTCGCCTCCCCTCGCGCGCGCTCCCTCCTCCCGCTTCCTCTCCTCCACCAGCTGACTCCGAGGGAGAGGATGACCTCATCCCTTCTCTTCCAGCTGCCGCCGCTCCCACTCCGGCTCGGGAGGGGCGACGGAGGAGGAGGGCCCCGGAGGAGGGGCCGGGACGGAGGGGAGCGGCGGGTGGGGAGGGCCGACCTGGCCGGCCCCGGGCGCCCAGTGGAGCAGCCGAGGGACTGCAAGGAGGCGGTGGAGGACCCCGCTGCCGGGACTTCGGGGAACGTTGGGCGGGTTCGACCGACACTATGGGGCGTGTGCGTGCCGAAAGGAGGGGTCCCGGCGTCCAGCCCCTCCGAGCACGAAGAACAGTGGGCCCTGGCGGGCGTGGCGGCAGCGAGGGCCAGGGAGGAGCACGTCTCTTTGTATTCCGTTCCGGGCCGGGGTGGCAAGGGTTGGGAGAACTGGCTTAACTCGCACGCTGGCCCGAAAAGCTGGCAGTGGGCGTGCCCGGCCTCGGAGTGCAAAGGAGGGAAGCGTGCAGGGCCCCAAGCGCGGAGACCCGGCCACGCTGGCAGCGGAGGGAGGGCGGGTCTGCCCAGAACCCGCGCCCTCGGGAGAAGGAGCGGGCAGCTCGAAGGCTCCGGGCTTCTCCCTCGGGCATGGGCACAGGCACTTGCACTCAGACTCCGAGAGAGGAAGAGGCGCTCGGGCCCTCCGCGGCCCAAGCCCACACTGCCCAAGCCCGTGTCCCTCGCACGCTCTCGGCAGCCGGGAAGCAAGAGGCGGACCCGGCGGCGGCCCTCGGCAGGTGGGAAGCTCAGCACCGCTGGCAGCGGCGGCTCGAAGCTTGGAGGGGCGCGGCCCACAGCCACGGGATTGGGAGTCCGGCCCCGCCCTTGCCCCCTGGGCGAGGAGTGGCGGAGCCCAGAGCTGGCGCCACCCCGCCGCTACTCCAAAACTAGCATTACCTCCTCTTAAAGCTGTAGGGGCTGCAGACTGGCTGTGTGGTCCCACTACTCCGGAAATGACCCGAATAAAAGAAAACTGCGGCGCTCAAGGCGGTTCACTAATTTAGGCATAGGGGAGTATATAGAATGTGTTGTGGTTGTAGAAATTTCTTAAAACCCCAATAAAATATGGGAGCTTTATTTTTTTATAAGAAAACTTAGGCTTGGTTTGTTTCACTTTTACAAATGGAAGCGACAGGAAGTGTAATTTTTAAACGATACTGTGACTCCTGTGTTTTAAGACCAGAGGGAGGTAGGGCAGCACATCTTACTCTGCCGCTAAGAGTTGTGGTCTGCTACATCTTGAGGCAAAGCAATACCATCTCCCAGTCCACCCCCTTCAACCTCCAATCACCCCAAATTCCAACCACCTGTTCTCTTCCCCACACACAGGCCCAGATGAGCCCCAGGCTACTGCACAGCCATTTTCCATTAGTGTGTTAAGAAGCTGAGAGCAGGATCTCTGCTTGTGGAAATAACGACTCTAGTGCCTGTAGACCTGGAATTTGCCTCACCGTCTGGATACTGTGTCTTTTATTCTCAGGGACTGATGCCCAAGACCCTGCTTCACTTGGCCTTTGCCTGACATTGTGGTAGAAGGATGATAAGGATGTTGGGCCGCAGTTCACAGTCACCGTGGCACATACAGATACAGAAATCCTAGCCAAAGGCATGATCAAGTTGTAGCTGAAGACCAACAGTACCACTGAGCCCCCCACCCTAGAATGCAGCCAAAAGGCTATATTTTAAGCTCAGCTATAAAGTGGAGCCCCTCTTGTAGAAAGAAAAGACTTTATGGGAAAACACCCTGGTTCCAGTCACCAGAGTCCAAATCTAAGATTCCATCTCCAGGGTGCTGCCTCTGATCTTGCTTTGTGCCAAACCATCAGGGAGAGGAACTATCTCTTAGGTAACTGCGTCTTCAGGGACAGAGTGTATTCTAGGTCAAACGCAATGCCTTAAATTGCACCAAGTGAGGAAAGGCCCCAGTGCCTGCACAGACTATCTGCTTGATAAGCATTAGGTGAGTGAATGCATGAGTTTATAGAGAGAACATTCCACTGCAGAAACAATGCTACATTTTATGCTAACAAATGTTCCCATGGAGACATAGGAATTATGAGACTTTTCCTATTAGGTTCTAAAAGAAATAACTAGTAATGGTTTCCTTATTAATAGATTTATCCAAAACCATTTAGAGTGTCTTTAAAGTTTCCGTCTGAACCATCTCTGGAAACTAATGGCTATCCAATTTCATGGAGAGCCTACACAAATAGGAGGTCAGAGGAGGCACTTTCACATCCAGGCTTTTCCAATTAGTAGTCCCATGATCCTGGCAATTTACTTAATACATAGGATTAATATGGGGATTAGATGAGATCATGGATATTACTGGGCTTTGTATACAATGTTGTTCTCAAGAGTGTCTGATCCCATCAGTCTAGCAATCACATCTCAGAATGTAGATTTTAATGTTACCTGCTCTGTCATCATTACTGCACCTGTCAAGGCGGATGGGCTTAATGGTTAAGAGCTAGAAGCTTGAATTCAGATGGAGTTGTTCTTGGGAAATTCCTTTGTAAAATGGAGATGATAATGATCTCGAGAAATCAGTATTGTTGCCAGGAATAAGAGAAAGATCCCTGGGAACTGTTCTATACCAGTGTCTAGCATCTGCAGTACACAACATTCTGTCAGTGTGCTTCCATTTCTTCCAGCACCCTCATGTTTTCCTACCCCTCAGCAGCTTCATAATCTCAATTATAAACCTTTCACTCTCTGGTTAACTTCTAACTGGTTAGTTCACTCCCCCAAGTAACTGGGACCCTGGTTTTCATGCCTCTTTCTCCACTTCATGCTCTCCCCCTTCTTCAGCAGTGTAAACTTCATGCTCAATCACTGTGGGCAGTTCTTGCACATATCTTCATCTCCGTTTTCCCTTTTACTTGGCAAACACCAGCCCTGGTTAAAGCAGGCAATCTACCAGCTTCAAGCTTGAGCCTGTGCAATGGGGTCATACTGAAGAAGGGGCATGGCCGTGCTGTCTGTATATTCCTTTCCCATCCTTGATCATCAGCTGGAAGTGGGCCACAAGGGTAATCTGCAATCACACTCATCTTCCTCATCAATTTGCATTCCTACTCTCATGTCCTTTCCTTATTTTCCCTTCTCAGGCTTTAAACACCCCCAGAAACCCTGAGAAAAATGAAACAAACTGAATCAAACCCACATCAACTCCCAGCACCTTCTCTGCCTTCCTACCAGAGTTTGTACCCACCTGCTCAGCCTCCTACCTCTAGAAGCTCCACTTGCCCACCTCTGTACCAGCTCCCATGCACTCTCACTGCTAAGAGCACAATTCCACACTCATTTCTACCATCACTAGTTTTCTCTCTCATTGGATTATTCAGATCAGCATACAAATGTGCTCTTATGTATCTGCTGGCTATAAAACAAAGCAAAACCAAACCAAACTCTTTTTGATACAATTCCCTTTCTAGCCACCCCTGCGTTTGTCTGGAAGCTTTCACAACACAGTCCCTCCAGAGTTGCCTAACCTCACTTTCTTGGATCCCTTTTCTCCCATCTTCACTTGAGCACACTCAAATAAACCAATAACTGTTCCCTGGACAATTCCCACCTGCCAAGCTGCTGCTGATCTATCATTCACTCAACCACTCAGCCTTCACCTGCCTGAAGCCCTCAGCAGTGTTTAATGCGGCAAACCTTTCCTCTTCAGTGGGGTCTGCTCTTCCCTTAGCTTTCACTACACCACATGCTCTGGGGTCTTGCCCACTTCAAAGCCTAGTCCTCTGTTAATTCTAGGTTCTTAGTTAATTCTTTCTTTATTTCCCATACCTTTAAATGAGACTGATCCTTAATCTCTTCACTTTGGAGTCTCACTCTCTTGAGAACTTCATGCAATGTCCCATTTCAAATACCACTGTGCAGGGGCTGGTACCATGGTGTAGTGAGCAAAGCCACCACCTGCACTGCCAGCATCCCATATGGGTGCCTGTTTGAGTCCTGGCTGCTCCACTTCCGATCCAGCTATCTGCTGTGTCCCAGGAAAGTGGTAGAAGATGGCCCAAATTCTTGGGCCCCCGCACCCACATGGGAGACCTAGAAGAAGCTCCGGGCTCCTGGCTTTGGATTGATGCAGCTCCGTCCGTTGCCGCCATCTCAGTAGTGAACCAATGGTTGGAAAACATCTCTTTCTCTCTCTCTCTCTCTCTCTCTCTCCACACACACACACACACACACACACACTCCCTTTCTCTGCCTCTCCTTCTTTCTCTGTGTAACTCTGCCTTTCAAATAAATAAATAAATCTTAAAAAAAATACTACTGTGCAGCAGGTATTTGGCATAGCAATTAAGTCATCACTTGGGACTCTTGCATCCAATGTGAGAGTGGTTCATGTTCCAGATACTCTGCTTTCAATCAAGCTTCTTACTAACACACATCCTGGGTGGCACTAGTGATGGATTTCTGCCACCCATATGGGTGACCTGGATTGAATACCAGACTTCTGGCTTTGGCCCGACTCAGCCTTAGCTGTTGTGAGCATTTGGTGACTGAACCAGGAGATGGAAGGTCTTTCTCTGCTTTTCAAATAATAAATAAATAAATAAATAAATAATTTAAAA